AATGGATGAAACTGGAGAAGAATCTCATTTGTTTGTTTTTCTTTCTGTTCTATTCTATGATTTTTTTTTTCTTACACTGCCTTAATAGTCTTTCACTATATAAACCATCAATCGGTGGTGTACCGATATAAACAAATGACGGATTAGTATTGATTTACTGTAAAAAGAGAGAAAAAAAAAATTGATGACAGAATTACGACGTCTTACTATGTCAAATCCAGCATCTACCTTCTCTATCGTTGCCCAAGAAGCATTAGATCATATAGTTGCTGATGGTGAAACTGATGACTGTATTAGTCAAGAACATGGATACATTACACATCAACGTTCTCGACGTCGATTGAGAGTGAGCTGAATATCTTTATTCTAGGAAATATTGTTATTGTAATGATGTATGTAATTGATTGTTCTTTGATACATTAGTGACATTGCTTTTGGTAATATGAAAAAAAAGAAAAGAAAAATTATGTGCAATCTTATAATGTTGGTTGAATTTATCTAATATGAAAAGAAACAAAATCAATAAATAAATAAATAAATAAAACTATTCGATCAAATCTTTAGACAGAAAATTTAATATCGAAAGTGTGTCGTTTCTTGTGCAAAAGAAACAACGATAAGATGTCCTAGATAAATATTTGGTTTTTTTTTTGCTTAAATAAGAAATAAGAGCGAATATCTTATTATAAAGCTATCCATTTTTTTCTCTTATGATGGATGTGTACTATCTGTTCTGGAGTAATAAAGTCAAGGAAATGGTAATAACTGGTTGTGTATGTATTAGTACGCGACTTGTTGTAGACAAAAAATTGTCTGCGTCATAGAAGAATCAGGCAACTTATATCATTAAGACAAAAAGAAAAAGACCTTCTTGCCCCAAATTACAATTCTATGACTATAGTAAAAAAATAATTATCTGTACATAATACTAATGGATTTTATGTGCTCAAACAAAAAACACGTACATAAAACAAAAAGAAATTGAAAGATGTAAAGGACAAATAGATGGAAAAAAAAGGAAAAGGCTACAGAAATGCCATCTGTGTTTCATGGAGGAACAATAAAAGAACTAAAATATAACTAGAAGAGCAAAGGATATCATCATTAGTAGCCGCAGTTGACTATGAAATGGATAGCAGCACGAGTCAGCATTCTAAGAAACCAGCCAGCTGCGTGCCAATACGCGACACGCAGGTAATTTATTCTTATGGAATTCTTTTATTCTTATTTTTGTACCCATATCGATCTCATTCTGTCCTATGTATCTGTATGCGATAATTATCCGAAAAAGAATATAGACAACAACAACAAGAAACTACCGACAGTCATCGTATGTGTTATGTGCACTAACAAACGCCGTTAACACTTTGTTTTTTTTCTTCTTTCCGTTGCTTCATACATATATACAATAGAGGTAGGAGTAAGTGACAAATTTTACAATAATGGAAAATCAATCATCAATGTCGAGAAGATCAACTAAAGTGATAGCAATAATATAATAAATATTAACATGTTTTATTTTTTAAAATGTTTTTATTTTTTTTTTTCTATTTTATTCTAGCGCGATTTTAATACATTACCAGAAAAAGTTTTACTTGCGATATTTTCCTATTTACCACATGCTGAATTATTACGCTGTGCACGTGTTTGTCGTTTATGGCGTGCTTTAAGTCAAAATTCAAAATTATGGAAAACTGTTTTTCTTCGACCAGATCATCATGGTTTACATGTAAAAAATCTTGATCAATTTCTTAATTTAATTGGTCATCGTTTTTCATTATCATTACAATATATTGAATTACCTATGGAATTAATAACAGCTGATGTTTTACATGAATTAGCTAATAAATGTCCTAATTTAAAATATTTAACATTAGATTTTTCAACAGCTATGCAATTACATGATTTTAATGATTTAAATGCATTTCCATGCAATCTTAAAATGCTTTGTATTTGTTTATCCGAAGTTATTTTTCTTGAAGGTTTTATGAGACGTATTTATACATATTTATCGTCATTAGAAACTTTACAAATTATTGGTATGGGAAAAAAATTATATGAAAAAAAAACGAAAATATTTTCTGTTAAAGGTACTATTGAAAAATCAAATGAAGCTGAAGAAGAAGTCTATGAAACAATTAATATTAGTAAAATTAAAGCACAAACACCAAATCTTCGAGTGAGTTTATTTTGAGTAAAAATTTTCTATATAAAAAATAATTTATAGGTTATTAATTTATATGGTATATTTTTTGTTGATGATAATCATATTGAAATAATAGCATCGGGTTGTATTCATCTTGAATGTCTTGCATTAAATTTTTGTACTCGTGTCAAAGGTTCAAGTTTTAAAAATTTATTACAACGTTGTAAAAGATTACAAAGTCTTCTTCTTCAAAATACTGGTATAAACATTAAAAAAAACATACGAATAAAATTGAATATACGTTAATGTGTTTTTTTTTACTCTTGTAAATAAAAAAAAAAAACAGGTATCGAAGACAATGCAATGTTAGCAGCTGATTGGGAATCATCATCTGTTAATGAACTTGATATATCATCAACTGAATTAACTGAAAATTGTCTGTTGAATATATTTGCACGAATGCCAAAATTCAACTATTTAGCAGTACCTAACTGTGACGGTTTTACTGATCAGGTAAATGTAAAGTGCGATAGTTTGTTTTTTTTCATGTGGTTTTTTTTTCTTGTTTTTTTTTTTCTTCTTTATTTCAAGGTTCTTAATCAATTAATTGATCAAGGTAAACTAACCAATGTACGTGCGGTTGATCTGAGTAATACAGTGAATTTAAATTTTGAAACTGTTTTTATTTTTCTTAAACGTCATGGTCGACAATTACGTGGTTTATCTTATGCTGGTAATTCAAAAATAACAGAACAATTTTGGATAAATGCAATAAGACACCTGAGAAATATAAGGTATATTGTTTTCAAAAACAATAAAGAAAAAAAAACAATAATCAACAATCGGATACTCAGGTGAAAACGAAACAAATAATTGAATATTTGATTTTGACGTATATTGAAAATAGTAAATACGTAGATAATCAACGAAGGACGAGTGTAGTTTGTTTTGTTTTACTACGCAATAGATTATCTTAAAATTAAAATATTATCATTCAATGGATTTTATATTGTAGTCTTGATTAGTAATTAGCAAAAATGAACAATGCAAATCATTCTATGATATTTTTCTTTTTTGCTGAATCAGACAAAGATCATGTTATTTACAATTGAATAGCAGATGCATTTACATACCAGAAAAGTACATTGTTTAGATAAACTTTACAGTTTGATACTTTAAAATGTTTTTGAGTCCATAATATCAAATTTATTTAATTGTGTTTTGAAATTTTTGATTAATTGAAAATGTTATTTTGATATATTTAAATACTTCATCGTAGTTAGTAGAATATCATCTAATTGATAATATTATATACTATGATTCGAGTCAATTATTTATACCGAAATATAACAAGAAATGAAGAAATCCTTGTTTGTTACTCTTCTTTTTTGTTTGTCCATTTTAAGAATTTTGGTAACAGGTACTTCTCATGGATGGTTTAAAAAGATTAATACACGCATTCATGTTGATCAAATCTTAGAAGCATGTGCACTAGAATGTCAAAAACTTGAACGATTAGAAATTCAATGGGATGAAGAAACATTAAGGTGGAATGAAAACAGTTCAAAATTTATTGATCATATTCGGTATATTTATATTAATGTTTCTTTTTTCTATTTTCTTTTGTTCATTGTTATAAATTTTATAATTTTTAGCATTCGTTGTACAAAACTTCAATCATTAGTATTAGCTGATGGAGAATATTATGAACTTGTTCGATCAAATTTTGAACGTGCTGATCGCCAACGTGTTGTGCGTACGACGAAAACCGATCAGACTAGTATTGTTAGTCTACTCAATTATTATAATGAGCTACGTTTTAACTAATGTGAAAATGTACGTGTGCGTTCATGCAGTGACGATGTTTTTTTGCTTCGTTTTTTTTCCTTTCACGGTCAACCTCTTAAATAAAAAAAGCCAGCTCTTATTTAAGAATGTATCAACCTTGTCTAATATCAACGATAGCACTATAGCCTTCATTGGCTAGGTGAAATTAATGGCCTAGAAGAAATTAGTAATAAGCATTCTCTATCAGATTGAAAAACTGAGTGAATGATTGTATAAAATAATGAGAGAACCTACGAGAAAAATGTCAATAAAGTCAATCACCTGTCTAACGTTGAAATTTTCATGCAACTGATTCACCAAAAAAATGTTTTAATTAGAAAATTTGAAAATTGCTTTTTTGTTTTTGAATGTAAATTATGGTTTTTACGGTATAAAAAAAATTTCAATAGAAAAACCTCAATTTTAATAAAAGTTAAAAAATATTCTATTATTATTGATTGACATTAGATAAATATTAATGTATGTATATTGTAATTGATGAAGAACGATTATGATGTGTGATTATCTACCGATTTTAGAGTAAATGATTTTTTTTCCCCTCTCTCTGTCCCTCTCTCTCACTTTTTTCTCTACCTGTCCTTTTTCTATTGGATATTAACGGTGTTTACATAGTCGTTTGGCAAGGTAATGACAGAGGCCACAAGCCACAGATCGATCTGTTTTCGAACTGATAGTAATATTTGAAGGCTTGTGGTTGGGTAGTCATATTGTGTCTTTCTATTCTCCTTTTTCCTTACAGTGTCTCTCTCCCTCTCCTTTTACGTTTCGTTTTTTTTTCGTGAACTAATCATTGTTTAATGTACAAAAAAAAACGACCATGACAAGCAAGATCGAAAGGCGTTCGACCGAAAATATACTGCCGTTTTTCTCTTCCTCCGCTTCTATTTCATCTCTATCCATGCATGATCGACTGGGCCTATATAAACACTGATCCACCAGCAGCATTTCTTCACATCTGACTCTCACCAGTAAGTACTCTATTCGCATCAACAGTAGAACAAACGCTATGGCTAACTATTCATACCAAACATCCTACTCATCAGGAGGAGGTGCTGCCGATGCTGCATTCAATCAAGCTGATATTAACCGTGATGGTCGTGTTGATCTCGGTGAATTCCGTAACTTCCTCGGTAAGTTGATATGTTTCATCACTGTTAGTACATTTATTAATCATACTTTTTACAGGTCAAAATCTCGGTGCTGGTGCTGGTGCTGGTGCTGGCTACGGTGGTAGTTCATCATGGGAATCAGCATCATACGGTGCTGGTGCTGGTTTAGGCGCTGGTTACGCTGCTGGTGCTGGTTTGGGCCTTGGGGGTTCAAGCTTTGAATCATCATATGAATCATCATTAGGCGCTGGTCTCGGTGGTGCTGCTCTTGGTGGTGGTTACGATGCATCATACGTTGTTGGTGGTGGCCATGCTGGTGGTCTTGCTGGTGGTGCTGCTAGTTACGAAACAATCTCAGGTGGTGCTGGACTTGTTGGCGGTGCTGGACTTGTTGGTGGTGGTGGACTTGTTGGTGATGCTACTCTCCTTGCTGGTGGAGGAGCCTTTGATTCATCATCAGCAGCACACACTCAAGTTCACTATGCTACTGATGCTCAAGGTCTCTTCCAAGATCCAAACCCACAAATCATCCGTCGTCCAGCTCCAACTGGTGTTCAAACATACACACAAAACATTCGAGTTCGCTTCCTTCAACCACCACCAGTTCCAGCTCCAGGTGTAAGTCATTTCTTTCATTCATCAAGATCTATATCATAATATCTAATTTTCTTTCAGCCACTCATCATCAGAGAAGTGCGACCACCTCAACCACCTGTTCCACCACCACTTCGCATTCGTCAACAAGCTCCACCTCTTCCTCCACCACCTCCACTTGTTCTTCGTGAACGACCACCCATTCCACCACCAGCAATTGCATCTCAAACAGTCATTCGTCGTTTGGCTGCTTTACCAGTTCCACCACGATCAGTCATCATCGAACGTCTTCCACCTGCTCCACCACGACCACGTTAGTAGTTTCTTTCCTTTTTTTTTCTAATGCTTCTATCATCTCGATCATTCATTTTAGGTGACATCATCATCGAACGTTGGGTTCCATATGGACCTCAACCCCGACGACGCACCATTGTTCAACGTGCTGCTGCTGCTCAAGGATACGCAGCACCACGCAATGTTATCATTCAATACGAACAAGCTCCAGTTCGCATTGTTCGTCAATTCCAACGCCTCGGTGTTACTGCAGCTAGCCCAGCTGTTTATATTCAAACATATGGCGCTAGCCTTCTTGATGCTGCTTCACTTCTTGCACAAGCTCGTGCTGCTGGTGTTGTTGAAGATATTGTATGTTTAATCATACTATTCTTAAGTTTTATTTTTAAATCACCATTTTTTTTCTTTTTTTCTAGTCAGCTCCTGGTTTTGTTGGTTACACTGCTGCCACATACGGTCAAGAATCATTCGGTGCCTCATCAGGCTTAGTTGGTGGCGCTGGTCTTGTTGGCGGAGGTGCTGGTCTTGTTGGCGGAGGTGCTGGTCTTTATGCTGGAGGTGCTGAAGTTGTTGATGGTGGTCTTGCTCTTGGTGGTGGACTCAGTTCATCTTCATGGGAATCATCAAGCCTCACATCAGGCGGTGCTGGTGGTTTAGGAGGCGGTCTCGTTGTTGGTGGTCTTGGTGGTGGTTATGGTGGTGGTTATGGTGCATCGTCATTCGGATCATCAGGCTATTCAACTGGTCTTGTTGGTGGTGGTGCTGATGCTGCTTTCGTTGCTGCTGATACCAATCAGAGTGGTGCACTTGATCAAGGAGAATTTCGCAATTTTCTTGGTAAGTATCTGCTCGAACGAATATTATCATTTTATGGATTTCATAATTAAATTGCATTTATCTCTTTATAGCCCAAAGTGCTGGAGGAGTCGGTGGTGGATCATCATACGAATCATACAGCTCATCACAGTCCTATTAAAAAGTTTAAATAGCAAATCAAAATTTCAAAGATTCAAAAACTATGGTGGTTGTAACTTGAACGAAATGTTTTTGTACTTGGTGAAATCTAGTTTTTTTCTGTTCTTTGCCTTATTTCTTTTCTAAGTGCTTATTTATATTTCAATGATTTAAGGTTTCCGCTTCTTCTTTTGTATTGCTTCGATGTCATCATGTAGTTTTTGCCTTTGATTTTTTTAAATATCATATAAAATTAGAGGAACAAAAAACCAATATGTTTCTTTGCTCTATTCAACAAGTGATAAAGAATTAAAAGATAGAAGGTTGTTAGTGCAGATATATGAGATTACAATGTTGAACACATCCATTTACTATAAACTAAAAGATTATTTAGTATAAAGATGTTAAAAATATAATAATATATTATCGATTGATTGAAGAAAGTAAAATGAAATGTAGCGCTTGATTGAACTTCGTGACTGCATCAAGGTGAAGAATAGTCGAAAAACATTGAATTATGACACTAATCATCTATTTCATATCCAAGGTTTACAATCGAGTAATCAATATATATTATAAACAGCATGTGTAATGCAGTATCATATTATCTAGTTTTATTTTTTTTTATCAAACCAAAAAAAAAAAAAAGAGATAACTTTTCGTCCGATTAATTACCGAAGACAGTATGAAAATAGTCATCATGTATATTTACATTATATTTTATTTTGTATATGCGCATGTAAATAATATTTCTAAAAAAAACCTATATAAAGATATAATCATTTTTTATCGTAACTTTTTCTGATTCTATTTTTAAAATAGAGCCTGTACATGTATCAATAAGATGCGCTTAATTAGCCGCAACCAGACTCATGAATATGATAATCAAACTGAAATCAACATTTTTTTTTTTCGTATCTCTTAATCAAAACTCATTGATATTTCTTGATACGTTGGTCTTGATTATATTTATAAAAGTGTACGTTGATCTTTTCTAAATAAGTTATCAATGATACTAAATATAATATTGAAAACCTATATTAAACAATTTATTTTGTTTAAATTTACACTTAATTACATCTGTAAATAAATATCATTTGAGCTCAATTGAAATTCATTTTCTAAAATATTTTTATCGATTAATAAACGTATATGATTTAGTATTAAATCTTGAATAAAACATTGTTTTAAACAATTTCTTTTTTTTTATTAATAACGATGATAGATTATTTAATATAAATGCAAATAATTATTGTTGAAAATTAATTAATAGCGCACGACGATAATTAAGAAAAAAAATATATTGCTTTTCAATAAACATATTAACGAATTTAATGTTAAGGATGAAGGATATTTTTGCATGAATCATTAATTTTTTTCGAACATTTGGTGAAATATTGATTTAAAAATAACTATGAACGTTACATTTTGTTTTATTTTAAACTGATAAAAAAAAAATTATTTTAATTTTATGAAAGATAGAAAAACAACAAAACAAATGTTTTTAGTGTTTTAATGTTTCATCATATTGTCGATTGAAAAGAAATATTTTATCGAAATTGTTTAACAATAATTAAATAAAGAATATTCGGATTATAAATTCTTATAATTGAATGTTGTTCATTAGTTCAATAACTAGCAGCATCAACAAGATCTTTTTCATATGACTCAATGATATCTGAATTAAGTTTATTTGATAATTGAATAGTACTATTTAAGCAAATAAATATAGTACAAAAAAAGTTTTATGGTTGAATTTGTTGTTTCAATTTTGTATTGATGTACAAGTAATACAAGATACCAAAGATTAAGATAAGATAAAAGAATTTGATTGTATTGTAAATGATATAAAAACCAAAGAACAACTAATTTATAAATATTATTAAGTGTAGATCGTATAAATCAAGTAGAATGACCTGGACTTGAAAAAGAGTCAAAATGATGAACTTTTATTAATTAGTAAAACTGAACAAAATCATCTTCAATCTAATCATAGTTTTTCTAGTTAAATAAATTACCAAATTTTTCTAAATATTTCCATCATTCATATGAACACATAATTTTCGTCTATACAATTTCAATGAAGGAATAGCAAATAGCATTAGATTACCAGTGAAAATCTTTTTGTCAATTGATGCCTATGCAGTTCCTTTTGCAGTTAAGGTGCGCATGCTGCAAAAATCGAATAATTTTTTTTTTCTCAATCCATCATATATCATTCAATAGAAGACAAACAGTTGATTAGAAATATTTTATTTTAAAATCGACTTGTTCATGTTAAAGAAAAAAAAAAGAAAACAAAAACCAAAGTTTAGGAAAGTGTGAAAAAACAGCGAAAGTAAACAAATTTTCATCAGAAATATTTAAATTTTTTTGTTTCGTAGATCTCAGTGATTTTTCACAAGGATATTTTTTTCTAATGCAGTGTTAAAAATATTATTTGAATGAGATCAAAATGAAAATATTGTCCAACGTGAGTCTATCGAATAAGACTACCCAAACACGTTTTTTTTTTTCGGTTATTTATAAATAATTTTGTAAATCTTTCTAGGTATTTTGTATTCACAAATAAAACTAAGTGTCATATCTCATTAGTATCACGAGATATTAGCCTTCTCGAGTACTCTATTAGTTTCTCTATATATTGTTTTTCCTACTTATACGCTGAAATCCTGAAAAAATTATACACATATTTACTTAATTAAATTTTTTTTTTGTAGTAAAAAATGATTATTCGGAATTAGCATCAACAACTACAATTAATAATATACCTCTTAATTACAAACGATTTCAATCAATATTATTCTTGTAAAGGATTACAGAACAAATTTTCAAAAAATTATATATGTAGAGGGATACAGATATCATATCATAAGAGTTTTCTCTTTAATAAAACAAATAAATCCGACTATTTTTTCTGCTTTTTCATATTAACAAAAAAAAAAAAAAAAATAACGTACAACTAAGTGAATATGTGCATTTTTTTTTTCAATGGTCTCAGCATTACAGTAAAGAAGAAATCGAAACCACTTGATCCAACAATACCTAGAAAAACTAGTAGAGTACATTTGAAGGCTAATATCTCGTGATATTAATGAGATATGATATTTGGTTCATTCTCATAATAAAAAGAATACTGAATAAAAGGTTTACAAAAGTGTCTATGATTACTAGATAAAATGTGTTTGATTAGTCTTATTTGATAAATCCATGTTTGACAACACTTGCATTGTGATCCAATCAAATAAAAATTTTTTTATATTAAATTAGAAATATGTTCTTGTAAAAATTTACTGAAATTTAAGTAAAAAAAAACCGAAAATTTCTGATGAAAATTTCTTTTTTTTTTAGCTGTTATTGATACTGTCTTATTCTTTTGTTTTTTTTTTTGCTTTCCTTAAAAGGTAAACCAATCGATTTCACAATAATATGCTTCTGACTAACTTTTCGTATTCTATTGAAGGATACATAAAGGTAAGAGCAAAAGAATCATTCGATTTTTGCATTATGCATACCTTACATAACCTCGCCATGTCATCCAATTACATTCTAAAGAGGTTATAATTAGATCTAATTTTTCATATTCTATTCAAATATGTCCTTGAAGACGAAAAAAAAGAAGAAGCTTATTCAGTTGCAGTAAAGATTACTATTTAGTTGTGAGAAGTCGTATTTTTTTTTTGATGGGATACTGTAGTTTGGTGATAATTTAAAATGTCGAAAAAATAAGTGATGCATCTAGTTTATTTTTGCTCTTCTCATTACAGAATGTTTAGATGCTGTATCATTTCTGGTTATGTAACAAAAAAATAATTGTTTTTCTCTATGTATTTATTGACTTACATATGATATTTGTTAAAGTATTAACATCATACCAAAAAATAAAAATGCCTAGTTTTTGTTCAAATTTTTTAAAAATCTTTTTAATATTAGTCAACTTCGATATCTTCTTTGATATTTTCATTTTCGACTAAATTATGGCCAACATTTTTGAAAACCTTTTCATCATTTTCGCATATTGTGCATCGTCCTTTATGTTTAATAGACACAAACAATGTTTTATGTATATTATTCGATGTATTTGAGGACAAAACAATACATATAATTATGTCGAAATATAATTGATTTATTATCATCATATGGTTCTTTTTTGAAAAAACGAAACTGTTATGAAAGAAATGGTCTCACCATGCATACTGTTGCTTAATATCATTAGCTCTTATAATAAAAAGATTTTCAGCTTTTCTTATCAATGTTCATAGGATATCTAACGCCTAACAAATCTTGAATATAGATATTTGAGTGTTCCGTATTAAATGAAACATTAATGGTATTAGTTGAACGTAAAGAAGAATGTACAGCATATCAGAGCTGTGAAATCATAATCAGCAAAAATAAAACTATTCACTACTCAATGATAATTTTAATATAAAAGAACAGGCTTTTTTTTCTTATTCAAGTTCATATTTATATAAAAAATTAAGAATTGGATCTCTCTATTTAACTTTTAGAGAGCCACTGAACGAAATGACAAGTAATATAACTTCAGAAGCAGCCACATACATCAGTTGACCAGAGTTTTAGCTCCTAATCCAGTTCAATAAACTGTTTCCCATATTAAAAAAGCTTTTATTTCTGAATATTTCGACAAAGAAGATCTGATCACCTATCTGAAATTTGTTTTCAAAGTTTGATAACATTATGTAATACTGACAACCGATTCAAATCAAAGAAAAGCGTACTTAATCATCTATGGAAGAATTGTTTCGAAATTTACTCTTCCCATTCATTCAAACGATTTAGATGAAAATAAATCTGATATTCATAACTAGTGTCATCATTTCTATATTTAGACGAATGATTGGCTCAAAACAAAGAAAAAATTTTGATGTGTCATAGGAGAGGGTCCACGTAGGAAAATTTTCAATATTCAATTGACGAGAAAAAAATATGTGCCTGTTATAGCCTATGGTTGACGTATTATCATGTTGTGCTGTTTTGTCGAAAATAATCTGATGATAA